TAAATTACATTTCAAGGGAGGGAAAAAAAGCATGGCCCCAATCCTTTTTTGTTGTAAGATGTATGGGTATGGTATTTGCTCTGTGAAGCATTCACTAGCTCCTCCAGATAAAATTAATTGCGTGTTCCTCAGAGTTCCCCAAGCATTTTGTTCACTTCTTGATTATAGGACTTACTGCCTCTGCTATCCATGGTGCCATTAATCTCTAAATCACTAGACTTAGCCCAGCGTTTTACACGCAGTAGTGATTTCACATAGGTATTGAAGATGAATTGAAGGAAAAAGGACATTTTTACTCCATCTTTTGAAGAAGGAAGGGAGCTCTGATGATTTTAATTTGCTAAAATATAATTTAAAAAATATGTAGAAATGGTTTCTATTTCCTCTCTCTTTATTCTTTTTATATTTTATTTTTTTACTTTAGAGAGGAAGGGAGAAGGAGAGACACAGGGAAAAACTCTGATGTGAGAGAGAAACATCAATCCATTGCCTCTCATATACACCCCAACTGGGGATCAAATATGCAACCTGGGTGTGTGCTCTGACCGGGAATCAAACCCACATTTTCATGTGGGATGACACTCTAATCAACTGAGCTAACCTAGCCAAGACTTCTCATTCTTTATTCTTAAAGATTCAAGTTACAGTTTAGAAAACTCTTTTCTATTCCAAGAGAGTGATGCTGTATATAGTAGTTGACATTTCTTCTTTAGTTAGCAGTGAAAAACAAAGTTTTAGGGGTTTTGAGGACAATTTAAAATGGGGAAAGTGATGTGTGTGTGTGTGTGTGTTGACTGACCTACTTTCCTGACTATTTGGAGATTTCTTCCAGACACCAAACCAGAAACTTAAATATCTAAGATATCAAAGGGTTTAGGAGATAAAGGGAGATTTTGGCATAAAAAAGAAAACAAAAATGAAGTCTCAACTGCGTTCCAAAACATTTCATGTTGCAATACTTATGAAATAAAACTTAAATCTAGTTATATGCCAACACTGAACAATGACAGTGCAAGGAAAGAATGATGTGCTATTGTCGCTTATGAACATGAGTGAAAAAATTCTTTGAAAAATACAAACAAATCAAACTTATCATGGTATAAATATATAAAACATCATGATCAGGTAGGTTTATTCCAGTAATATATGTATGACTCAAATCAGAAAGCCTATTTATATAATTTACCACATTATGAATAGGAAAGAAGTCCTATGCAAATTTTCTTAAGAGGCATATTAAGCATTTTATAAAGTCCAATATTAATTCATAATAATATCTTAGCAAAATAGGAAGAAATGTTTATCTAAATCCCAGAGTAAACATCACACTTATTGGTAAAACTGTTAAAATATTCCTCCTAATGTAAAAAAAAGTTAGGAATGTCAACATCTAATCAACATTATGTGGTAGGACTTGGTCAAAGTAATAAGACAAGAAAAAAACTTAAGGGGTAGAATTATAAAGGAAGACAAAAAATATTCTCATTTTTAGATACCACTGTCTGCATAGAAAAAAAAATCTATAAACCACTATTATAACTAATGGGAAAGTTTAGAAAGTCAGTTGGATACATTGTCAACATATAAAAATCAGAAGCATTACTAGATGACAATAACAGCCAATTAAAAAATAGAAAATTTTAAAATGGCATGTATGAAAATGATGGATAAATTATAAAACATTATTACAGAATATCTTAAAAGGCTTGATTAAAGAGATTATGTTTATGATGGGATGACTCAATATTGTAAAGATGTCAATTCTGCCAAAATTAATGTATAAATTTAATGCAATTTCAATAAAAATCCCAACAGAGTTCTTCATTAGGTACTCAGAGTCAAGAAAAGCTAAGCCAATGTTGAAGAAGAGCAATGTGGGCTTACTAATTAGGACATGTGACATGGGACAGGGATAATCAAATAGGCCAGCAAAACAGAGTACAGAGCCCGGCCACAGACCATGCATACATGCAAACCTGACCTGGAAAGAATGCAGAACTACCAATCAGTCTAGAGAGAGTGTGTCTTCAACCTGTGGTGATGGGACCACTGGCTAGCCATTTGCCAATAAGAATCTGGTTTCCTAACATATACTATACATCCATCAATTTTAGTTAGATTAAAAATATATGTAAAGAGCAAGATTTTAAGGCTCTATAGGAAAAATAAATTTATTAACTGAGAACAGGAGATAATTTTTTAAACACAACACAAAACCCACATGCTATAAAAAGTATATTTATTTAGTGTAGTCAAACTTATAAATTATATGACTTCTTTTCAAAGAAACCACAATGAAAGTTAAAAAAACAAGTCTCATACGAGGACATAATTTGCAGCTCACATAATCTACAAAGATCACCAGCCAGAATTCATCAACAACTCCTATACAACAACATGGAAAAGCAACATCCAGACAGACAGATAAGCAATGGATATGGGCCAATAAACAAGAAAAGATTTTGGGTCTTACTGTAATCAGCAAAAGGCAAAGTAATGTGTTCCTCCCAGTGGAATAGTACGCAGCAGTCAAAATAAACCAAGTAGAGCTATAAATCTTAAAAATGTTGAGTGAAAAAGATTTGTAAAAATTGACATACTTTATGCTATATTTGAAATGACTAAAAGCATGTTATATAAACAAATGCTTACACACATAGCCATGTCAACTAAATCATACTTGAGGGGAATGAAACACCAAGTCTTGGATAGCAGTTACAGTTATAGTGACATAGTAAGCCAGATTACACTGGCTTGCCAGAGCCAATTCTGCATATTTATTCCAAATTCCATGTTCAGTGATGTCTTGTTAGGAGCTTGAAATCTGCTGGGGTGGGAGTGTTTGCACCACAGAAATTGGCAAACACTGTCAATCTCAGGTTCCCCTCCCTTGTCCTCCGCCTGCAGAACTGGTTCACCATCACTGTGCCATTCTCCCCAGAGGGAAATGCAGTTGGGAGGAGTACTCATGGTGCTTCAACATTATTTGTAACGTTGTTATGGTTTAAAGAATTTCTAAAGCAAATATGGTACAAGGAAAGGCTTTGATAGTACTTTATGCTTTTCTATATTTTGGAAATATTTCCTGAAAAACAAAATCTACAATAGTCAGTTGAAATATTCAGGCCGTTAAAAAAATTATTTCCTTTTTGGCCTCTTTAATTTTACGGATTTAAAAACTTGCTTAGTTGGTCACAATAATATTATATGATGTTGAAAAACCTAGACCTGAACTAATAATAGAAACTTTAAAATTATTTCAAACCCCAACCATAGATTTAATGGATAGTTGTGTCTTTGAAATCAACTGATGTGGGGTGGTTTATCATAAAGGATTCATAAGAGGCATTCACATAAAAAGTCTCATCCATACTCTTATTTACTAACCAAATATAATAGCAAAGACATCTGAGCTCTAAATTTAGACTCCAGATTTAAGAGAAAGAAAAAAGAAGTGAATAGGGAAGTAACAGTATAGACAACTCAACTGTAAAAGTGTAATAAGAAGATATTCTTGAAAATAATAATAATGAAATAATAATAACCTATAATAAAAGCATAATATGCTAATTAGACCTGATGTCCTTCCAGACATCCTTCCTTCCAGACAAAGCTCCAGCAGGCAGGGGCCTTGGCAGAGTGGGTGGGGGCTGCAGCAGTGGGTGGGGGCTGGGGCCAAGGCCCTTGCACGAATTTCATGATCAGGCCTCTAGGCATAATAATAACAACAAAAATACCACCAATAGAGATTGGACAATTCAAAATAGGCTTGCCTGGGTTTCTAGCTCTACATCCTGTCATTTGCACTGGGGTTGAGTCACATGATGACAGGACACATGGGATTTACTATAACACAGTCGATGTCATCACTGGTTAATATGTTGGTGTTTATTCCGTGTTGGCCATGAGCAAGGTGGATCAGCTCACTGAAGCTTCACAGTAATCATATGAGGTAGATATTCCTTTTTTTTTTATAATATTTTTTTATTTTTTTATTTTTTAGAGGTAGATATTCTTATTGTTTCCATTCATCATCCATTCATTCATTCCACAAAAGTTTGGATGCCCATATGGGCCAGGCCTTGGCAGTAAAAACTACACATGGATCCCTGCCCTCAGGGAGTGTTCTGCGAGTGGGGTGGGGAAAAAGAGAAAGAAGAGATGTATCCTAAAAGCCAATCATAGCAGATGTTCGAAATTGCTGAATTCTGGGAGCGAAAGAAAGAACAGAGCAGGTAAGGTGTGTGTGTGGGTGTCCAGTAAGTGCTTTGAGATAGGAAGAGTTGAGCAAAGACTTGAGCTGAGAACATTGTTTATTCTACTCCGTTAAAGACTCACCAAAGGATATATCCATGGCTCAGCTGAGAAGCAAACCCAGATACTCTGGAAACCATCAGAGGTTAACCTGCCTACTACCTGGTCTTCCAAAAAGTATCACACTCTGTTTTAATAACTGATGTTTGTCCAGCTCCTTCGGCTCCGTCTGCCTTGTTTACTATGAACATGGTCTACCAGTAAGTCCAGCACCTGCTGCATAGTAGGTACTTAATACCTGTTTGAGTTAAATCAATCACTTGTAGCTTTTATTATTACAGAATATAAATTAACATATAAGTAACTTCAAGTATTTATTGTGTGTTTATGGCATCCTGCCCACTCCCCAGCCAGAAGACATTTTCAGAAAGTGCAGCAGAGGTGGGACGCTGCAGATGAAGCCAGCGTGGGTTTTCGGATGCTCGGTTCACACCATGGTGTGGAAGGAAGATGCCGCTGTGTCACGGCAAACAGGTCTCTCCTCTGAGCCAAGGGGATCGAGTGGGATAGGATATTGAGTAAATGCAAGACAAGAATACTTCCAGGGGGAAGACTTCATGGCATAAGAACCCACATGCTTTAAGAAGTCAAATCAGTGGCTGCTGAGATGTTCTCTTAGGCCACATTCATTTGAGAGACATTTATAATGTCCCAGTGTGAGAGCAATCTTCGGCGCATGGACTTACCTATTGAAGCGGTAGATATCCTGTATGTTTCCAAAAAGGGCTGATCTTTCTTCTGTCCCCAGAGGAAGTTTGGTTTGGTCCCTGATGCAGTCAAGGTAATCCTAGGAAATCAAGGGAAGGATGTCATTGCTGTCCTTCTGCAAATCATCTTGAGTTTGTAAGATGTATCTTTCACATCAGTTTTAGACAATTATTATACTAATGTGCTCCTTAACTCTACTATGAAAATACAGAATCTCTCTTTTATTGATGATGATCATACTTAACATAGTCATAGAACGGGGATTTTGACCAAAGAGAGTGTCATCTACATTAATTACCTACTCCCACCTTCAAATGCATTAGAGCTTCCTTAGATGGATAATATAATAACAAGTTACCAATTATATCAGAGTTCTGACATAAAAACATCACCTGATGTTTCCTTGAGTAATATGATCTCATGCTATGGTCAAAGATACTCCAAAATTCACACAATGAAAAGCCAGAAATACAGATCTTAAAATTTCTCATCATGAGAAAAATAATTTGTAATTAATGGATGTTAACTAAACGTTCTGTGTTTAGTTAACATAGGGCATTAATTAACATACCACAACACTATATATATGTTGTACACCTTTAATACAATGTTATATGTCAATTATATCTGTGTGTGTGTGTGTGTGTGTGAATATATTAATGAAACTGGAAAAAAGTGACAGAGTTGATTTAAACATAACCTTTAAATTAGAAAGAACTCAGTTGTTATAGAACTAAATTCTTCTCCAAATACCAATTTACACACACACACACACACACACACACACACACACACTTTTTATTTTAAAGCACATAATTCAGGCTATCTAACAGGCTATGTTAATGACCCATGGAAAACGCTGAAATGAATTTATTTGCTTTAACATAGAAATAGCTGTAAACAGAGCTAACCAGGGCTCAGACCACAGTGGGTTAAATGTGCGTGGTTAGAAGCTATTGGAACTGCTGAGAGAGGGAAACTCCTTCCCGCCCCCTGTGCTAAAGGGTTCATAGCCAAGCGTTCTCCTCCGTCCCCAGGCAGTGCTTGCAAAAAGAACCCAGTGGGAGGCAAGAAGACAATAAAGACAAAAGTGAAAACAGCTGAAACAACATAAAATAAAAAATAAATACAATCCCCGGCCCTGGGCTGAACGATATACCATGGCCGGCTACCAAAAGGCACAGGGGCTGCTGCAACATTGAGAGGAAGGAACGCTGTGAAAATCAGGCAGAGCGTGAAAACGCAGCTTCACAACCTCATTCCAAAGCCCAGGCCCAAACACAGCAGGACTTAAATGCAGCTAACAAAAGGGGAAACTGAGATGTAAGAACCATCAGATAATTGTTTCTTTTCTTTTAATAAGCCAGTCATTCTCTCTTGCACTTTATGTTCAGCAGATGAAAAACAGGCAGGGTTTCACCATTAACTTTCTCAGGAGCACATTTCTCAGTGGCATCAAATAACTTTTAAACATTTGAGTGTCTTAGCATTTAAGGTCATTGTCATGCATGAATCAATGTTCATATTTTTTTTTTTTAGAAACAAGCATTGTGGTAACATCTGTTCTTCTTAAGAAAGTGGATATCTCAGTAAGAAATTAAATTCACAAGGTTTAAGTGCAGTTGACATTAAAAACCCACAATACCAAGACCTGGTCTCCTTACTTTTATGAATGGAACAATTTTAAGAGGCTTATATATCCACACAGGATACAGAATTAGTATCAAATAAGAAAGGCTGAGGAAGTTAGAATTGATGTAATAGCATTTTGAACATGTGAAAACTAAACTACATTTCCTATAAAAAACCAAAACCATTTGAAAACATGTATTCAAACGATATTTTCATAAAATTATATATGGAACATGGTCCCAAAGGATGGGCTAAGATTTAACTTGTACAAAGTATTAAGCAACTATATTTGATAGTTGCTTAATACTTTGATCAACATTTAAAAATATTTTTTTTTATTGATTTCAGTCAGAGAGGAAGGGGGAGAGAGAGAGAGAAATATCAATGATGAGAGAGAATCATCAATTGGTTGTCTCCTGCTCATTCCACACTGGGGATTGAGCCTGCAACTGAGGCATGTGCCCTGACCGGGAATTGAACCTTGATCTCCTGGTTTATAAGCTGACCCTCGATGGGCTTGATCAATATTTTAAAAGGACAAATTGTACACAAAATTAAGAAGGTAGAACTGGAGGATATGGATGGGTATGAAATTTAAAAAGTAAATCAAGAGACTGTGAATGGGCATGTTCAGCACCAAAAGGCAGGACAAAAGGAGGGTCAAAGGTGACGGACACATGCCCGCTCCATCTGGCTGGCTGCATTGAGGTTTAATGAGAAAACGAACAATCCTTTTCCTCACTTCAAGTGCGAAGCTTGCTCATTTGCAGAAACCTGAGGCTGCATTCCTCATGTGAGGGAAAGATGGAGCTAAGGGGCTTGAAGAATTTCATCTGGGGAGAGAGACAAAGCACCGTGGCCCCCTTCCAACAGATGATGGCCCATCGCCAACTGAAAGCATTTCAGAACTGTGGTAGAGAAACTAGATTGTAAAAGCTGCTTGTTTTCTGAAATGGTTGAGAAAATAGATCGTTAAGAGTCCAAATTTTTGCAGGCCACTCTAGAAAACAGATCAAAGTCCTGTGGCCACAACTTGTTCCCCCTGCTGATCATAATTAAGTCTTTTAAATATGATACTTTAACCCTAAGCCAGTTCCTGAAAACTACTGTAGCATGCACTGCATGAGCAGCTGTAATCATCTGAGGCCAAAATGAGAGGTTTGCAGCTCCATGATAATAACAGCTCATTCTGTGCTCAAATGACAGAGCCAGGACACCGAGAAATGTATTAGGGCCTGTCAGGCCACTTATTAATTTTATTGGCTGGATGTTGGCACCCACTGCCATCTTACTGTGCACAATGAAGGACCAACTTAAAACTTTTGCATTGAAAACAATTATTCTCCAAGAGGATTAATAATTTACTCTACTCTGGGGAGACACACACACACACACACACACACACACACACACACACACTTTTCATCACTTGGATAATTTTGTTATAAAGTTTTAACTTTTGCCTAAAGTATTTTTTTTCCCACCAGTATATGCCTTTAAGATCTCCACCATGATGATATTTGTATATGAGTGTCCTCTCCTCATTAACTCTTTCATTCCTTGTAATGTCTATCATTGAAAGCATGCGATAATCTAGTTTGGTGCTGTTGGAGGTGTGAATGAACAGGAGCTGGTTAAGCTGCTGGTGACGGATGTGCTGTAAGGTGAGTGCGGAAATTGAGAGGAAGCTGCAGAGACTTTCATAGCGTTCTGACAGGATGATGTATGTCGAGTCTCATGATAAGTTGGGACTTGTATTTTGAGTGTCTGATTCCTTCTATTTTAGTTTTCTACTAATTCTTGTTATTATTGCATTTTTCAAAAGTGTCAGTGTGTGGCTGATTGGAAACCACACATACACACACACACACACACACACACACACACAATCCTCATGATAGATAGGAAGAGAAGTCCTGGTCTGGGGAACCATCCAGCAGAGATGCTGTAGAAACTGGGGAAGAATTAAGATTCAAATTAAAAAAGGTTCCATTCATAAATCCAGCTCACATTTCAAAATTCTACATACCAATTAAAAAAAAATTTTTTTTTAATTTTATTTCAGAGAGAGGGAGAGGGAAAGATAGAAACATCAAGCATGCCCCCTACTACTAGGGATCAAGCCCACAATCCAGGCATGTGCCCTGACTGGGAATTGAACCATGACCTTCTGGTTCATGAGTTGATGCTCAACTGCAGAGCCAATTCAGCAAGACCTACCCACTGACTGTATGGTTTATTCTTTTCTATCTCCTTCCTGTTGTTAGCATATTTAAATCCCAAGACTTCTGCTGTAACTCCTCCTTAAGACTTGTGCCTGTATTTTGGTTTTATCACCTTTTCCAGAAACGAGTCATATCTTTATTTGACAGCCTGCCTTCCAAGTGCCGTGTTACACTGGGCGCCATGGATACCACCATAGCTGACACGCTTTACAGTTTGAAAGCACATTCAGATTCATTCGTACAAGTATCCTCCTTCCCCCCTTTTTCTGAGGACACAAGAATGCATGCCAAGTGCTGTTTTACAAGCTAGGAACTTAAAAATGAATAAAACATGATCCCTTCCCCCAAGGGGCTCCCTGTGTAGCTGGAAGACAAGTGTAAACAAATAAGTCCCATACAGTGTTCAGGCCACACCACTGGGAAGCACACAAGAGTGTTCCAGGGCAGGGAGAGGCTCAGAGAGAAGGTGCCAGGGGATCAGGGCCTTTATGGATGGATGATCAGGACTCTGAACACAGAGAAAGGAGAGGAAGGAGATGACTACATCCAGGAAGATAGAAAAGCGCGAACAAAAGCACAGGGTAAGGAGTGTAGGTGCAGACAGGCCACTGAAAGGGGCTGAGAAGTGTTAGAGGGGGCAGGGCACGTGCCTGCACACAGAGACCCAGAGGCGGGGCTGTACGGGGAGACCAGGCCGGAGTGAGGTCAGGACCGATCTTGGAGAATCTTCCACACTCTGTGTGGGTGGGTGGTGCAACCTCTGAAGGATGTAAGGAGGCTAAAGGCCACCCAGCATCGGGGTGGGCTTTTAAGAAAAGGGCTTCTGGGCTCCCCTCTCTCCTCTCACTTCCCACTTGAAGGATGAAGGGTGCTGTTCCCTGGCTCCGTCAACTGGGACAGGCAGTGAAGGAAAAGGCAGAGGGACCAATCCTGTCTCCTCTGCCATGTGGCTGCTCCCTCTGGGAGAAGGACCGACCAGCTTTCTCCTTCCTTCTGATTTTCTTCCCAGGTGGTGCGTGAGGCCGAGCAGGACGCTATCTTGCAGCTGGGGCTGCAGAGGCCTTGGCAAGGCAGTGCCAGGCCTTTCTGGAGAGCTGGTATCCTCTATGCCCACCCTCCTTACACCCAGATACAATGCTGAGACACCTCTGGGGATGTGCAGTGAAAAGGAGACAAGGCATATCTTCTGGGCTCGCTCATCTAGATAGTAGACGGCTCGAGC